TTTTCCATCTCTTCCTCTCCAACTTCTAGGATATTGTTATTGTCATTCTTTCTTTTCTCTTCCTCGTACCAGCTAATTTCCACCACCTTCTCACCTTCTGCCCCAATTCTGAACATAAGAAGATCAGGGGAAGTGATTTCCACTTGAGAGGGGATTTTTTCCACATCCCTAATGCCACACATAACCCTGATCTTCTCTTCATTAATAGTGTCCATGTCAATTTCAAGCACAGGCCCTACTGCAGCAGCAACCTCACAAATGCCTAAGAAATGTCTAAACAATCAGGGACCTTGGTCAACTTGATCCAAATTGTGTGCATTTTTTCAATAGCCTGATGATCCAGAGACCAGGGTTGGACTTTGATCACCACCCCTGTCCCCAGCAAGTTGAAATCATTGAACTTTGCTAACTCCACTAGTTTTGCCTTGTTGGGAAATCTCATCATGTAGCCATTTTTTCCAAACTCTTTCACTCTCCATTGCCATCCCCAATCAAACATTTCTCCCAAAGCTTTAACAAGCTCAGTCTCATTAATCTGTCCTTCTCTTATGACCACCACACCCAAGGGATTAGTGTGTTCAGCTACCAAAACATCCTTATAGCTCTGCACCAAAAGTATTCCTAAGCCTTTAGCAGCATATCCCACATATTTAGTTACTGGCTTTATTTGTTTCAGCAGATTGCACTCTCCAGTTATGTGATTGTCCCTGCCACAGATCAAACAGTGTCCCACCCTGCATTCCTTGGTGGTATGTCTGGGGTCCTTGCACTTGCCACAAGCCTGCTTACTGAACCTATCAAAACCTTTCTTGTTATCTTCAAAGTTTTGTTGCCAACTGTTTCTTCCTCCCTGTGTCTTAAGTTGCATGCCAGAAATCTGTTCAAATCCTTTGTCAGCTCTATGTTGTCCTTCTCCACCTCTTTATTCTTTCCTTTAACTGTCTTTCCCAGACAGATTTCCAGAATGTTTCCCAAACATCTCCTCAATCTGATTTTTCTCACTGTTCTTCATCCCCTGCACTAACTGAGAGAGCAGAGAGGTCAGCAGTATCTATTGTTGATTCTAATCTAGCTGAATCAGTTGCTCCTTATTTCTGTCCTTTTCAAGCCCAGCAACTCCTGCATCTCCATTGGCTTTTCTTGTGATCTCTTCCCCTGCATCTTTCTTCCCTGTCTTGGCTTGCCAGACCAAATTTTCTCCATTTCTCTCAGCCACAGAGTCCTCTTCTTCTTCATCTCTGCCAATTCCATTTCCTAAACCAAGTCGGCCATCCCTTCTTCCAAAACCACCAGATCTCCCTGGGAAGGCGTGTCTGCCCCCATTCCATCCTCCCCCCTGTCAGCATAGTTGAATCTTCCTCCTGTGTGTCCACTCCCACCTCCTCGATTGAATCTGGGAGCTCCAAACCCTCTCCCAAAGTTTCCTGACATCTCTTCTTCTTGCGGCGGCGAGGGGAGGGGAGGGGGAAACCCTATGTGGTGGGATTGCTTCCCTCCCACCTCTGCTCCCTCTTTTATACCTGCCAGGACCCCATCATCTTTTTGGGTTGGGCTGGACTTCAGCCCACAAGGCCTCCACCAACGCAGGCCCGCATCCATATCAATACTTAAATCTTTCCCAACTGAGCCCCCAAAAATGATTAGGGGTCTCAACTTTTTCTCAGAATTGGTGTTCAAACTCTCCCTCTTTTGGAGCCAAATATGCTGCAATTGGGGTCTTTTGTAATTCTATTTCACCAAAATCCAAATCCTCACCCCCAAACCAAGGTGTGATAGGATGCACATTATTTTTCCCCATATGTTTTTGCACAATATGAGCATCAATGCCAGTAAGCTTAAAGTTATCTCCCAACCTGTCCCTTCTCTCATCCCAACCCTCTTTTTCATTATCTAAACTATCAAAAACAGAGGGAATCCTATAACACCCATCATACTTCCGAGATCTAGGCCCTTTTTGCACTCTGTTTTCATTACAGAGCCTTTTTCCCAAATTTGCCTCTAATTCTAGTATCATCTACCTCAATCGAAGTAGTAGATACTAAATATTTAGCGGATTTTGTCATACCTGCATCGTAGATGAGGACCTCCCCCTCCCCCTCCTCCTCAGAGCCCTCTCCGGCCAGCAACCAGAAGCGATTGCCAGCCGGGGAGTGCCCTACTGCCGGCGGGAGAGAGCAAGGAGGCGAGGCGAACGCATCTGGAAACGCGGGGAGCGGCGGGGAAGTGAGGTCGGGGTCGGAGGCACCCTGGCCCTCCTCCATGGCGGCACATCCACCTCCTCCTTCAGCTCTTCGACCACTTCCGCATCCTCCTCGATCTCGATCAGAAGCCATCTAGATCCGGGAGCAGGGATCCCCATCACCACCACCTGCGGCGGCGCCTGCGGCACCGGTGGCGGTGCCCTCGGCTGGATCAGACGGTAGCGGAGGGAGCGGAACAACTTTCACTTCTCCCTCTACTCCAGAATCAGCGATTCTGCCTCGAGCATCACCCAGAGGATCACCCCCATCGCCGGCTGGCGGTCGTAGTTGGGGAAGCACCTGAGGATCTCCTCGCCTCGCAGCTTGTCCCTCACCATCTCCGACGCATCGTTGAGGGCCTTCGCCATTGGAAACCACCGATCTATCTCCTTCAATCTCCCCATCAGCACCTTGTCGCCGGCGGACAGCGCCCACATCTGCTGCTCGCGCGTCGTCATGGAACCCTAACTCTCGCAGCGGCAGCGCGCGGT